TCAAAACAGAAAACTTGTTTCCCCGCCAGTCTTTCCCAATTTAGTAACTGGCAGCTCCATTCTTTCAACTCTTCTGGCCCCAACCTGAGATTATCGTTGACCTTTGTTTTCTGCCACAATTTATATTTGATCCATCAGTAAAATCATGCTGCATCTATCCTCAAACTACATCTGATGCTTTCTTACTATTTCCGCTGTTAACACTCTGGTCCAAGTCACCAACATTTTTTAACTGAATTATTGCAACAGCCATCTAAGTGGTCTGTTTCCATCCTGCCCAGTCTCTTTTCTCAACACTGGAGCCAGAGTGACCTTGTTAGATCATTAAGTCAAATTGTGTCACTAATTTGATTACATTGTTCCAATAACTTCCAATCTCACTCATATGGGAAAGCTAAAATCCTCTCAATAGCTTATCAGGCCCTACATAGTCTGCCCCAGCACCAGAACTGCATCAGACCACATTTCTTACTTTCACCAAAATTCACTGCACTCCAGCCACATTAATTCCTCCTATTCCTCAAACACACTAAGTATTGCACTTCAGCCCATTTGCCAGAAATGTCCTTCTCTCAAATATCCACATAGCACATTCTCTCACTTCCAAGTCTCTTATTCAAGAGTCACTTTATATTTTACAGTGAGGTCTTCTGGCCATCCTATCTTACCTAAACTCTTCCCTAGTCACTACCTCTTGCTACAACTTTTTTTCCTTAGTCCTTATGTGCTAAATATACATATATGTAATTTATTTATGTAGTATATATTATGGATACATGATATAGTATATGTAAAAAAAAAGGTATGTAAATATGCATGCTATATACTTTTTACATATACTGAACTATAAAACCTACTGTACTTATTCTGAGTCTCCCCCCAGTAGATATAAGTTCCATGAAGACTGGGAATTTTATGTTTGGTCCACACTGTATCTCTAGTGCTAAGAATAGTCCCTGGCAAATAACAGGTACTCAATACATATCTGTCATAAGAATAAGTAAACCAGGGCCTCCCTGGTGGTGCAAGGGGTTAAGCACCGCACTGTGAAGCAATCCGCAGCCTCTATAGCATGAGTTCGATCCCTGGCCGGCCAGGGAGCAACCCACATGGTGAAGCAGACCTCTCCTGTCTTGCCCGCTGCTCCCCACAGCAATGTATTTCAGTCAGTCTGCCTGTTCTGTTCCCCGCTCTATCTTTGGAGAATCCTCTCAACCTCCATCCCCCACCCCCGCCCCTGCATCTCTGGCCCCAGCTCTTGTATGCATGAATGGATAAATCTTTGAAAAAGAAAAATAAGTAAACCAAGACATGCTCCAGATGCCACTCATGAAAAAATCTTATGAAAGAGTGACCAATTGTAGCAAATGATAAATCAAAAAAGATGAGAACAGGGAGTTGACCACTCGATAAAACAACGTGGGGTCACTGGTGATGCTGACAAGAGCAGTTATGGTGAAACTGCCAAGACTGAATGGGAGAGAAAAGGAACTGAACATGTTGAGTACAAAGTGCTCTCAAATATTCTCTCTTAACACAAGACTACTGCATGGTACCACTTCCCAGAATGGTACACCTTCACTCATTTCTTCTGATGACTAATTCTCCTCGTTTCCCATAAAGACACAGCTTCGGTATATTCTACAGGAAACATCACTGTTATGTCCCCAAGGACATACCAGAGGATAAATGCACCAGTGCTCTCCCCAGTGTACAGACTATGTCTTTAAATTCTGATTATACTAAGGCAGGGACCCTCGTACAAAGCAGGTACTCAATAAATACTTCTTTCATAAGTGAAAGAACAGTAAGTTCTTAATAGTTTCTAAGAATTTATTATTCCATGTTTCCTTTTCTATCCAAAATATAACATTGTGTCAATTATCTCCATAGTCAATACAAGACATTATAAAATAATAAAGGAAAACATTATCATGAAAAATCTTAAAATTTGGCTTCACCCTAAATAAAATATATTTAATGTATACTTGAGCCATTACTCTAGATAATTCTGATCTATCCTTGATTTATATCCTTTAAATTATATAGTATTTGAAAAATAAAGAATAATCCAGACACAAAATCTTACTGAATAGAATTATTAGTCTGTGAAAGTTAAGTTTACTTAATTCTAATTAAACACTGAGACATTTTTTTTAAATCTTTATGTGGTCTAATGCTTTCTAAAGTATTGCTTCTAGATATTTCACAATGCTTAAGAAAATTCTGGCATCAAGTTTGAGGGTTTATAGCCATTACTCAAACTGTTAAAAGAGTTCTAGTCACACATCTTTTGGGATACAGACTGGCAATGAACTTCCCAAAGAGAATCATCTGAGGCGGTTTCTTAAAAAACAGATTACTGGATTCTGACCCCATTGGCATCTCATTGAGGACGCCTCAGGAAAAGGGTAGAAACTGGCATAAAGCGCCTTAAATGATTTTCATGAGCAGTCAGGTTTGCAAAATATTTACCATATATCTGGAAATATTAAGGAGATAAGAAGACAACTACAAGCAACACAGATAAGACATGCCAGGTGGCACCACCACTGGCATACTAGATGGCAGCAACATGACAGGAGAACTGGTGAACAGCACAATGGGAGACTGGTCATGAGCCAGTCTGTACAACCCAGATAGCACTTGTCTTTTCAAAGCCTAAGCCTAACCACAGCGACCTGCTCATTCTGGAATAGCCTTAGCCCCAGATTAAATCATTTCTACCAATTAGGCTTTATCTAAGTGTTAAGCAAATATGGAAAGCAAGACAGTGGATTAAAACAGCATGGACTTTTTATGATCAAGGCTAACATTACAGCAACACTGTTTTCCACCATGCACCACATTTAGAAATATTCCGTTTTCCACCGTGGCATCAGTAGAAATTTTACTGGAGTAGTTTCTATACCTAAACCTCAAACTTTGAATTGGTAAAAATAAATGGAAAGGTATGAACATTTGGCTCATCTATTTCACAAACAGGAATGCTGTCATTATTGTGTGAAAAACTATCGGGAGCCCTTTGATTTCTAAATTATAGTCAGTGCTGTATTAAATTCGTGCCACCAATTCAAAGATGGTGTATGTTTCAGATTTCACCACCCCAATGAAAATTTTCAGGAAACCTTTTCAATGTTGTAAATTATGTTAAAGCTGAATCATTTGCATAAAAGCATAAACATACATTCAATTATAGCAAAAATTTGAGTAATTTATCATTTTGATATTTACAGTAGTGTATGGGTTGTGCAATTATAATACCAAAAAAAAATTGGTATTATAATACAAAAAGAAGGCAGAAACATTACTTTCCTTACAGTTCACTGAAAGATAATTATAAAAATTCAAGCATTAAAGTTTCTAATTACTACTGCAAGAATAAATGAAGTATAATTACCCCCACGAAATAAATCGTATCTAGTTTCGGAAGGCCTTAGTATCATACCACCCTTAACTGCCAAGGAGTAAAAACAAAGGACATTAGCCTACTCCACCTGCTGAATTCAACCTAATAAAATAAATATGTGGAGGAAGACTTCAGGCAAGGCTGCTCTACCAGGTGAAGCTGCTATATCCCCGGTGCTGCTGAAGATCTAACACACAGGAAAGAAACTGGAAAGGATTTGGGGAGAAAAAGACAAAAGAACCGGGCTAAATTCTCTTGCAATGAATAACAACAGAAAATATAAACACTGCTTGTTGGGTTTTTGAATCACTAAGTTGTACAATTATAACAGGTGTGTAATTTTGATCCATCACAAAAAGAATCCTAACTTGAGAAAACCTTGAGACAACTTTTCAGCTTTCTTTGCCAAGTAATGTATTAACTACAATCTGGAAAAACTCCAGTGTGTCAAAAACCAAATGAAAACAAAACACCACCTCATTCCCTATTCCACAATCTCAATTTCTGCTTTCCTCATCTTTACTCCATCTCCCGCCCTCCCTTTAGTTTATCCTCGGCCGCCTTTCCTCTCTAATAGATCACACAAGTGCAAAAACGCAAAACAGAACAACTCTTATTCTCGCTTACATCAAACGAAGACAATCCTGTGGAACACAAATAAGGGAATAAAACTGAGTAACCAAATCTAATCATAGAATCTCTGTAAAAAACCCCAGAAGCAGCCTACAAACATATTGGCGAAATGTTTTAAAATACATTCTCCAGTCAAGGACAAAAAAAGCTGTGCTTGAGTCAGTAACCAATGGCTTGGAATACTTTCTCCACCTTTTAACTTTATTTGCTACAAAAGTTCTGCTGAGACACTGATTGAAAATCACATTTCAAATACATTACTCACCAAAGAAATACACACAAGCGCTGGCATCAACTTTAAGACACGCTACCCAACGAAAAATGAAAACGCAAAACCACACCAAACCCATGTGATTTAAGTAAGAAACACAAAAGTAAACTTATCTTCACGACGGGGTAATCGCCTTCAGTTAAAACCTCCCCCCAAACTATCTTCAGGGGTGCAAATTTTGAGGTTCAAGACGTTGCCTGAAGGTTGTCGGGGTTTCTTTCCACCGGCTGTTAACAGCAGGCGGTGAACCCCGAACTAGTGCTGGGCCAGAGCGGCGCGCCCTCCAGGATGCCGCCGGGGCGCGCTCCCCGGGACCGGCCTGGGGTGCCTGTACTTCCACCGGTTGTCAATTAGCTCCAGGATGTCCCCGAGGCCCTTTCAACACCTGCTTTAATAAGAAATCTCTGAGGGTACAGACGGCGCTGACGGCTCCACAGTCAGCTTCGGGGGCACTTTCCATCTTGGGGATGGAGGGAGACGGTGATCCAGCCCGAAAGCCCAAGCCGCGCGGACCTGGGGTCACGCACTGCCCGCGGGAAAGACTCCCCGGGGCCAGGACGCGACAAGGGGTGACCCGGGCGGGATGGGCAGCGGCCCGGCGCGGGGCGCTCAGCGGCGAGGCTCCCCGCAGGGGCGGTCCCCGCACCCCGCGCGCCCCGCGCGCCCCGCGCACCCCGGCGCGCGTACCTGATGATGTCGTCGCTGTGGCCGCGGTAGAACTTCTGCCGGTGCTCGCGCGGGCTGTACACCACGCCGACGCCCGCCACGAAGTACACGATCTCCTTGGCCGCCGTGTAGTAGAGGTTGTTGCGGCACTGGTGGCCCCGGTAGCCGTACACCCACTCGAGCCGCAGGTGGCAGCTCGGGGCGCTCCGGGCCGCCATGTCGGGGCGCCCACCCGCCGCGCCCGCGCGGGCCCGCGGCGCCGGGGGCGGCGGCCGGGGGAGAAGCCCCCGCGCGGGCGGCCGGGACTCGCCGCCTGCCGCGTCCTCTACGCCGCGCCCGGCAGGGGCATGTCGCTGCCTCGCGCCGCCGCCGCCTCAGCCCACGGGCGGGAGGACAGCCCGGGCCGCGCGGAGCATGCCGAGGCCCGCGGGCGCCGCCGGCCGTCAAGTGGGGTGTCGCGCGCGCCCTTCGCCCGCCCGGGCTCGCCGCGTCTCCTCAGCCCGCAGCGCCCAGGCCGGCCGCGGAGCGAGGGCCCGCCTCCCGCCGCCCGCCTCCCGCCGGCCGCCGCCCGCCTCCACTCCGCCGTCGCCGCCCGCGCGCCGCGCGCCCCGCTCCCCGCCCGGGTCACCTGCGGCGCTCGTGCCTCGCCGCGGCCCCGGCGCCCGAGCTGCGCAGGCCCGCGCCGCGCGCCCCCGAGCCGAGCCGAGCCGAGCCGAGCCGAGCCGAGCGGCGAGCGCGCGACCTCGTGCGGCCCCGCCCCCGCCGCCGCAGGCCCCCCCCCGCCGCCGCAGGCCCCGCCCCGCCGCCGCAGGCCCCGCCCCCTCTGCGGGCACCGTACACGACTCGCTCCAGCGCGGCGGTCCTTTCGCAGCGACTGGGCCCGCCGCCTCCCGCCGCCCGCGCCAGCGGCCCCGGCTACGCGCGCGCGCGCGGGGACGCCGAACCCTCACGACGCCGCCCAGCCCGGGGCCGACCCTTCGCTGCTGGGGGTCCTCGCGCGGGGAGCGCCCGCTGTCTTGCCTGGCCCTGGAGCGGGTCAAGGCAACATTTATGCTGCGCTCCTTCTCCCCTCCTGAGTGTGTGTGTGTGTGTGTGTGTGTGTGTGTGTGTGTGTTCTTACTGCTGCACACCGCTTACTGTATCAGACTGGGGGGAGAAACCTGACTTCCGTGTATATTGTACTCTGTAGGTGACCTCCAAACTCCAAGTAGACTTTAAATGATAAAATGTCGCGCGCCAGCGATGAATTCTGAACAAATAACAATGATCCCTGCAATTGGTATTTTGGATATCAGTACTAACTCCTGATACTTCTTGCAGCGGTGAAGATGACTTCAGAGTTGGGGTCCTTGAGAATGTGCTTGAAAACGAAATACTGGGAGCAATGAATTCCTGTCAGTTCCCCACTCAGTTTTTAAAGTGCCCCCTATAGGGTCACCACCAAAATTTACCAAGCATGTTAAAATTATTTGAAACCTGTAATTTAAAAGGCTTTAAGTACAGGGTGATAGCCCTAAGGTTTACAAGACATACAACTCATGCTAATATGAACCCCCTCTGTCAAAAACGCACTGTTGTGGTTTCCCTAGGAACTGTCAAAACTTGGAACTCTGACAAAAGCCAGGATATATCAGCATCCTTTTAAGTTAGGGTACCCATAGACTGGAATGGATGTTACCCAATCTAGTACTGCCACCAAGATGGAAATTACCAACTTGAGATAAGAAAATATCTTTTCAATTCTGGTGATGACCTGTAGACAACATGCAGGGAAGAAGGGTCAACTTAGAGGAAGAAATTTGCACAAGTGTTATGAAAACTAAACTCTGAAAGAGTGAGCAGATTTGGTGAACTCTACCATGAAGACAAAGTAGAAATCAATCCACCACCGAGATTCACAGTCAGTTGCCCGGCAATGTAATTAGTGATGAACTCTTAAAGTTAGGAAAAACTAAGTGTATAAAATTTCCTTGATTAAAAACTCTCAGACATCCTCAGGTTTATCATTTTTGCTGCAATAGCAATAAGCTATTGCTCTTATAATGAAAAGGGTGTTTGTTCTAATTTCCAGGGACAGCCAAGAATTAGAAGGGGGTGGTGAGATTGGGAGAAATACACCCCAGTCCCACTTCACCTTTGGCTCAGGATAACAAGAATCTCAGCACAAAGTAAAGGTAATGCCGACTGAGTTCTGGAACCTGCTAGAAAGTGAGAACTCAGGCCTAAGACTTGTCTCTGATGCTATAAAAAGTTCTCGGGTTCACTGCACAAAGACATACAATTACCTTCTCCTGTATTTATTTTTTGCTCTTAAATAAGAATATGTTTGTTAAGTCTGTTGTGAATCCCTTGAAAACCCTGGGTAAGAAATAGAAAAAGTTGTTGAGTATTTAAATTTAAGCAGTGAATTTAGGAAAGGTTAAATATTTTGCTGCTGTACATTTGCAGTGCATTAACCACTGATTACATGTAAATTCTATGAGATGAAAAGAATAAGAAATACTTTCTCTGTGTTTCAGATTTTTCGGTGTAATATCTTATGGATCCCATGATACATATTGAAGTACTTATATTAATAGAAGATTTAAATTATTTATTTTTCCATTACCATATTTTCCATTATGATTTTTAATGACCCAAGGGGGGAGTGTGAAGCAAAAACATTCTTAATTAAACCATCCTCAGCTGACAATTCAAAAGAGAAGGTACAGGCACAAAGATGAGTGAAACAATGAAACATTCATGAATACTGGGGGACAAAGACAAACCTGATTAGTACTTACCTCTACAACATGAGATAATCCTGTATTACAACGTCATATCAGAAAGCCTAATCAAGCTTTTATTGCTAGAAAAGTGTCCGCTACCTGGATCCTTTGAAAGCAACACTTGCAAGAATGTGTTCTGGGGGAAAGACCCCCGGAATTTTGCATATCAAGTGCACATATGTGAGACAAATATAAGCTACCATCATCTCTGGTCATCTATTTCCTAAAGTCTGAGTTCCTAGGATGAAGTTTTATATTCTGGATATTTGCCAAATTTGTAAAAGTCAAGCAAATAATCTGTTGACTTCTGATTTAAGCTACCCTCAAGTCTACAAAAGAAACACAAGGCAAACCACATAAAACCTAACAGCCAAAAGTCAGGACATTAATTCTAGCTAGCTAATTCAATTTGTGAATTATAATGATATTTTATTTATTTTTTTAAAGATTTATTTATTTTTTTATACAAGCACTGGTTACAGTCAGAAGCACGGAAGGGTGAGAGGATTCACCAGAGCGGGGAACAGAACTGGCAGACTGACAAAACACACTGCTGAGAGTAGTAGCGGGTGGCAGGAGAGGTCTGCGCGCCATGTGGATCCTCGCCGGTGGCCGGGGATCGAAGTGGTGCTGCAGAGGCTAAGGGAAGCTTCACAACGCAGCCCAGTGCTCAACCGATGCACCACCAGGGGAGGCCCTATAATGATATTTTAATAAGCTGTCCATAAAAATATTTCTGTAACCATACCTTTAATTTTCTTTTCCCTCCACCAAAACACGCCTGCCCACAACCCATCTGCCTCCCTCTCCTATACCCCCCACCCTTCTCCCTATCACTGCCTCCCCCCACCCCCCCAGTAACCACATACCTTTAATTAACCTGCCTTATGTGAAGACTTACAGTGCCTGGCACAACAGTAGATGTTCCATACATATTTGTTAGCTGTTTAATGTAAAAGAGAATACTCATGTAGTCTCAGTACGATTCCTTTTAGTTTTATCCTGAGAGCTGAAACTTTTGAAAACTTGAACCTTTTCTAAACTTGAACCTTTCTTAGTTAGGACTTCTTTGGTTGTATGACAGAAACCCATTCAAAATGTTTTAAGATAGGGCCTCCCCGGTGGCGCAGCAGTTGAGCGCTGGGTTGCGAAACTGCCCACAGCCTCTGCAGCACCGGTTCGATCCCCGGCTGCTCCCTGGCCACCAGAGGAGGGTCCCATCTCCTGCCGCCCGCTGCTCCCCTCAGCAGCGTACTTCGGTCCTTCTGCCTGCTCTGCTCCCCGCTCTGACTCTGGTGAATTCTCTCACCCTCCCGCGCCTCTGACTGTACCCAGTGCTTGTATAAATAAATCTTAAAAAAAATGTTTTAAGATAAAATGGAAATTTTGGTTGCAATTGTATGGGGAATATAAAAATAAAAATAAAAAAAGATAAAAAGGAAATTTAATTTTTTCCTTCCTTCTGTCTTTCCTCCTTCCTTCCTTATTTATTGATTGGTTTACATTGTATGTGATTGAAAGTCGTAGACTCGCACATCTTCAGATGCATGTCCTCACCCCACACCCACACCAAGACACCCACAGTTCCCCATAGTCCATTTCATCCCCTCTTCACTATCATTTCCCCTCTCCCTCTTTTGTAGCCTCGATTCCACTGTCAGATTTCTAGGGTTTGTTACTGGTTTGGTTTTATCTGACCCTTTATTTTGTTTTTCCATATTCCACATATAAATGAAACTATCCCATTTTTGTCTTTCTCCTTCTGACTTGGATTAGTATCCCCTCCAGTTCCATCCATGTTGTCACAAATGGCAAGAGTTCATTTTTTAAAATAGCTGAGTAGTGCTCGCTTTGGCAGCACATATACTAAAATTGGAACGATACAGAGAAGATTAGCATGGCCCCTGCGCAAGGATGACACGCAAATTCGTGAATCATCCCATATTTTTAGAGCTTCCATATGATCCAGCAATTCCACTCCTAGGTATTTACCCAAAGGACACAGAAACATCAATTCCAAAGAGCACCTGCACCCCTATGTTTACAGCAGCACTGTTTACAATAGCTAAGCTTTGGAAACAACCCAAATGCCCAAAAATAGATGACTGGATCAAGAAGATGTGGTATTTATACACCGTGGAATATTACTCAGCATTCAAAAAAGATAAACACATGCAATTTGCAGCAACATGGATGGACCTGGAAGGGATCATGCTCAGCGAAATAAGCCAGAAAGAAAAAGAAAAATACCGGATGGTCTCACTCATAGCAGGAATCCAGAAAACTTAAATAAGGGACCAGGAAAATGAATAACTATAAGAAAGTGAAAATCAAAATCAACAAACAACTATGAACCAGAGACACTCAATGGGGGGTGGGGGGCGGGGAGGGGAGAGATTGGGGTCAAAAGAAGGGGATTGCAATTGTATGGGGAATACAAAAATAAAATTTATTTAAAAAAAAATATAGTAATGCAACAAAAATAAATAAATAAATAAAATAGCTGAGTAGTATTCCTTTGTGTGTGTGTGTGTGTCTGTGTGATTGTGTACCACATTTTTCTAATCCACTCCTCTGTCCTGAGACACTTAGGCTGCTTCCATATCTAAGCTAGTATAAATCATGCTGCAATAAACATATATATCCCTTGAATATATATATATATACACCCTATATATATAGGGTGTATATATATATATATCCCTTTGAATTAGTATTTTGATTTCTTTGTGTAGATACCTAGGAGTGGAACTGCTGGACCATATGGTAGCTCTATTCTTAATATTTTGAGAAATCTCCGTAGTATTTTCCATGGTGGCTGGACCAATCTACATTCCCATCAACAGTGTACTACTTTCCTTTTCTCCATATCTTTATCAGCACTTGTTCTGTCATTTTGACAGGTGTGAGATGGTTATCTCCTTGTAGTTTTGATTTGCATTTCCTTGACGGTAAGTGACATTGAACTTCTTTTTCATGTGTCTGTTGGACATCTATATGTCTTCTTTGGAAAAGCATTTATTTAGCTCTTCTGTCGTTTTTTATTGGGCTATTCTTTCCTTTTTGTTGAGTTGTATGAGTGCTTAGTAAATCTTGGATATTAGCCCCTTGTCAGATGAATGGTGTGTGAATATTTTTTTCCATTCAGGTGTCTTTTTGTTTTACTTACTGATATTTTTGTTGTTGTTGTATAAAGCTTTTTAGCTTGATACAGTATGATTTATTTATATTTAATTTTCTTTCTTGCCTTTGGAGACAACTGCACAAAGACACCACTGAGCGCAATATTATGGAGCACTTAACCTATGTTTTCTTCAATGTATTTAATCCATTTTGTGTTAGTGTTTGTGTTAGGTGTGAGATGGTGATCATGTGGCTTTCCTGTTTTTACCAATGTCATTTTTTGAAGAGACACTTTTTTCTCCAGTGTATACATTTGGCTCCTCTGTCATAGATTAATATCCATAGATGTGTGGTTTATATCTGGACTGTCAATTCTATTCCATTGGTTTGTCTGTCTTTTTTTTGGGTTCCAGTACTATATTGTTTTGATTATTATAGCTTTGTAGTATAATTTGAAATCTGGGTGTGTAGTGCCACCACTCTTCCTCTTTTTTTGGTCAGAATTGTTTTGGCTATTTGAGGCCTTTTGTTGTTCTGTATACATATCAGAAATGTTTGGTCAATTTCTTTGAAGAATGTCTTTGGAGCCTTGACAGGGATTGTGTTCAATCTGTACATTGCTTTGGATGAGATGAATGTTTTAACAATGTTAATTCTTCCAGTCTATGAGCAGGGAACATCTTTCAGTTTCTTGTGTCTTCTATTTCTTTTACCAATGTAAAAAAGGGGAGCTTCAATGCCTCATGGGACTGAAAAGCCCAAGAACTGCTATCTATGTGCTTGGATGATAGGACTTGAGTTATACCATCAGCATTAACTCAGATCTACATTTTTGGGGTTAATTTCATTGCCAGGCAAATGAAATAGCTATGAGCTTCTTGAGTTCTACATGTTATTCTTTTAACAAACCCTATGCAAAGCGCTTTTTGAAGCAGTTCCCACTGGAACTCCTAGACTTCTGCCCCTTTGACTCTGATTGGCTGAATTGAAATATGTGCCCACCCTTGGATCCACATGGTATAGTGCTGGGTTTACTAAAACCACAGCAAGGGAAGAAGAAGAGGGAGGAGTCTCCCAAGAATTGCTGAAGTGGCAGCATTAACAGAATAAGAAGAAATGGAGGCCAGCATTTGCTACCAAGGCTGACTTGGATGCTTTGTCATTCCCTGTCTATTTACATGACCAAATATACTTGAAATTTAAATTTTTTAAAGAGTGCTTGAAAAAATAAATGGGACTGCATCCAATGAAGAAGCTTCTGTACAATGAAATAAACATTAAAATAAAAAGACATCCTACTGAATGGGGGAAAATATTTACACATCTTCTATCCAAAAAAGGGGTCAATATCCAAGAAATATAAAGAACTCAAGCAACTCAACAACAAAAAGGCAAATTACCCAATCAAAAAAATGGGCAATTGTGAATAGATACTCAGACACATACAATGAAACATGCAGATAACCCGTAGGCACATCAAAAAAAAATGCTCATCGTCACTTATTATTTTAAAAAATGCAAATCAAATCTACAATGAATTGTCACCTCACACTAGTGAGAATGGCTTTTATCAAGAAGGCCAGAAACAAGTGTTGGTGAGAGTGTGGGGGAACAAAAGAACACTCAGACATTGTTGGTGGGAATGTAAGCTGGTCCAACATTTTTAGAGAAAATAGTATGGAGTTTTTGGAAAAAAATTAAAAATAGAACTACCATATAATCCAGCAATTTTACTGCTGGGTGTCTGTCCAAAGACTATAAAAGATTCATTCACTCCTATGTTCATTGCAGCAATATTTGCAATTGGAAACAATCAAAATGCCCAAAGACATATGATTAGATAAAGAGGTAACATATACACAATGGAATACTACTCCGCTGTTAAAATGAAAGATGAAATCTTGTGATTTCTGACAACATGAATGGGATAAGTTTTCAGTTAGCAATAATCGCGCCTCGGATAAACCATTGGCTATGATACTGCCACTGCATAAAGCTCTCTGATAACATGAATGGAACTGGAGGCAATTGTGCTAAGAAAAATAAGTCAGAAGCAGAAATACAGCCAATGATTTAACTTCTACCTGGAATATAATGGAACAAAGCAAAAGAACAGTCAAAAGCAAACCCTTAGATTCTGACTGCAGAACTGAAGTCAACAGAGGTGGGAGGAATGGTAGCAAAAGGTGGAGGGGGTCCAGTGAACTTCGGTGGAGGGTTATTCATATTTTGTTAGTGGGTAGGCATGTTGTAGTAAAGTAGGTTTGAAGAGGTGTGAACTTGTATTCCTAAAACATATACTGTGTTGCAAACCTGTGTTACCTCAAAAAAAAAAAATTGAAGGTATTTGCTAAATAAATGTAGCCGTAAGACAAGAGTTCTAACCAATTGCTACCCAAAGACCCTCCTATGAAAAAAATCTAAAGCTAACCCTAGATGCCAGTCCTGCAAAAACAAACTGATGTTCTCTGCCAGTAAATATATTTCCAAAGGCCTATTAGAGTCCACCTAAACCTTAAAAAACTGATATATCATTCAAACAACAGGTATCTCAAGACGTGTTATCTTCTAAACATCTGTACACCTCACTGTCTTCTTTCTGAATTAACAACACTAGTATTCCCCTAGTTAGGCAGGTCCAAAATTGAGGCTGTTTTTTGGTTCCTGATGTTTCTCACTTCCCATATTCAATTACCACTTCCTTTGGACTCTAAAATATTCTAAAAATATCCCTATACTCAATCTTCCTTTGTACATCCACAGCCTTCAATCTCTATTGCCACAGTTCAGTTCAAGTTTAAGTTCTAGTTCTAATGATCTTTTAGTTCAGGTCAAGTTCAAATGATCTTTTCCCTATACAAATTATATTTCTGATCATTCCACTCCCCTGTTTGAAGAAAATTTTAAATAAATAATGTAGCAACAAGTATCTTAAGCCTTGAAATATTTTTCTCCCTTGACTCATTTCTCATCTAGTTAGCTGTGATAATTATAGATATGCAGATTAAATTTCATGTACCAAAATGTTTATCACAGCTTAAGTTAGACCCATAGAAATATGGCAACTTAAATGTCCAACTATAGAGAAATCTTTAATTGATTCAGTCCATATAAAAAATATTATGAAGTCATTAAATTAGGCTTTCAAATCAATTTTGGCAACACTGGAAATTCCCCACAATAGAATATAAAATTATTTTTAAAGTCAGAATATGAAAAAATGTGTTACAGAATGAGCTAGTTATGAAATATATTAAAGACAGGAACAAAAAATACCAAAATGTTAACAGTTTTGTAATATGATGGGTAAGTTTTAACACTTTCATGGGGATGTTTTTAAGTTCTTTAAAAATACACATATAATGAGATGAGAAAAATTTATTTCTCAGAATTCCTCATGGGAAGGGAATTATATTTGGAAAAAAAAATACCCAAATGGGTGCTTGGCACAGAAGATGAAATCTGAAAGCACCCAAATGTAGGCAGAACGCTTCTGCATGAAAAATGAGAAAGAATTTGTTGTTTCATGAAGATGAGAGAGGAATGAAGTCAAGAGATGGAAGAGTTGCAAATTTTGCCATGTAATTCTCTCCAAAAACCTCTCAAATCTTAAGATTCTTAACTCCCGTTTTTTAAATGGAAACTGGAGAAACAGGGCTCTCCTGTTAAGTTGATGTAGTAGAAGACAGCATCCCTCAATGAAATTCGTAAAGTTGTTGGGGAGGGACCAGGGAGGCCCCAGATTCTAACAGTGGTGAATTTGGGGTTTAAGCCATTTCCAAATGATAGGAAAGTCTCAACTGACATGTCAACTACACGCACTTTAAACTAGCTCTGCTGTCCAACCATACTAAATTCTGATCTTTCCTAAAATTAAACAAGCCTTTTCAGAACTCCATTCACATGCATGCCATTCGTGTTGTGCTATAACTTCAATCATCCACTATCAGCCTGACAAAGTCCTGTTGAACTGTTGAGATCCAGCTCAAATGTACCACCATGTTATAGGTTGGATCATGTCCTCCTTTAAAATTATATGTTGTAAGTCCTAGTCCCCAGTACATTAAAATGTGACCTTATTTGGAAATAGGGTCTTTGCAGATGTAAGTAGTTAAAATTAAGTCATATTGGAATAGAGTGGGCCCTAATTAGAAAGATTGGCATCCACATAGAAAGGGGAGATCTGGAAACAGACACCACACAGGGGAAATATCATGTATGCATGAAGGCAGAAAGTTACATGGCAAGGAATGCCAAGGACTGCCATAAACACCGGAGGCCAGGAGAAAGGAGTGTGTAGGGGCAGGAATGGACCACAGTGCAGGTTTTCTGATCCCATGAAGACTGGGTGAAGGAGGAGTCAGAGTCCTCAGTGGTTTTGCAGGCTTTTATTGGGATTACCAGGTACACGGCAGGCAGGGGTGCTGGGGGGCTGGGAGGCTGGCAGTCCTCCCAGCCCCCAGCAAATCCACACCCTCTCTGGGCTCTCTGGCGTTCTCTGCTTCTGCTTCTTTGCTTCTCTCTTGGCTTCTCTTTCGGCTTCTGCTGGCGTCCCCGTGATGCTGCCCTTAAAAGCACAGTCTTAGCCCAGGTGAATCCCATCTACCTATGCCCACACCCTATTCCAGGTGCCCGCCATCAGGCATGCATTCAGGACCTCAAGGATCCATCATCTATCCTGATGGCGGGAGGGCAGAAAAGCCTGACATTTTCTTTACCCTACAGAGTGCAACAGATCCATACCTCAGAGCCCTCAAAGGGAACTAATAGTGTTGACACTTAGATCTCAAATTTTTTACCTTCAGAACTGTGTGAAGTAAATTTATTTTGTATAAGCCACTCAGTTTGAGATATGTTGTTACAGTAGACTCGGCAACAAATACAGGCTTCTTCTCTGTAGTTTGCTATTGACATCCCCACCCACACTCTTCAGAATGAATCAGCTTTCATTGAAGCCCCTGGAGCACTTTATACAACCATACATAACTCTATAGTAGCACTCCTCATATTGAACTTTAGGAAATTATTTATGCTTCCAGAATGTGTGTTTTGAAGGGCGTGTGTTTATTTGTTTTTTGTTTTAGAATCTATTGTCCTCTTTTTAAAAAACAAAGTAGCACTGCATTATGACATTACCTAAGTTTCAGGTATACTTACTACACTGGATTCACTGTTAAAAGTCCAATTCTATCCTTTTCCACACCATTGTCCTGTTTGTCACCATTTACCCACCCACTCTTTCCCCCTTTCCTTCTGATAACCACTAATTGGTCTTATAGTCCAAAATCTTATTTTTGTTTTATTTAATTCATCTGTTTGTTTCCTCAATATACTTACTACATATCAGTGAAATCATAGTTTCACTATGAAAATCAAAATTTATCCTTTTTTTTAATTGAGCAAATATTCTTTTTTTTTTTTTAAAGATCTATTTATTCATGCATACACGAACCGGTGAGACAGAGCGGGGAACAGAACAGGTAGACTGATTGAAACACACTGCTAAGGGGAGCAGTGGGCCATGTGGGATTCTCACTGGCTGGCCGGGATCGAACCTGTGCTGCAGAGGCTGCGGACAGCTTCACAGCGCTGCGCTTAACTGATTGCGCCACCAGGGGAGGCCCCAAATTTATCTTCTTCTGTCTGATTTATCTCACTAAGCTTACTAACTATTCTGTAGTTTTATCCATGTTGTAGTAAATGGCAGGATTTCATTTTTTTTATATAACTGAATAGTATTCCATTGAACATAGTCCTCTTTTTTATTTAGCTGCTGTTTTAGCTTGGATTCTTAAGAAAACTGAACCCAAGGCAATGATTAAGGCATTGCCATTCCAGTTGGGAAGGAAAAACCAGGGGCAGTGAGTTTAAGAAAAGCTACGAAGCAATGTGGAATGATTTACTGCCTGGCTACCACCTTATAAGAAGTCTTCAAAGTCAGGGCTGGCCATACATCTACTTTGCACTTAGGATTTTCATCTATGGGCTGCAAGGATAAGTTATGGTCAGGAACTGACCATGGGAAGGAGGGAAGAGGGAGAATTTATTTGTCCAGCTCCCTCCTGTCTCCTCTTTCTCACAGTTCAAGTTCATTGCACCACAAATTGGAGTTGATATCCATACTTGCAGGTTGCATCAGCCAGATTCGTCTGTGATCTCTGGGCCACCAGCTCCCTGAGCTCCAGTTCCCACAGGGTAATACAAAGAGGGTCAGATGGTAACTATACACACACAGAGTTGCATTGCAGGAGAGGAATGTCAACCAAGGTCAGGGAACCTAAGTCTTTTATATTGGGCAGTGAGCGGTCTGACCCTTGTTCTAAAGGGATATATCATTTCTATTCTACTGGACAATAAATAAGCATGCCCTTTGTTCCTATCTTTATCTTCCAAGGCTGTTCACTGCACATATATTCTTGAGAAGGTAATCTTGAACAAGCACAGTCAGTGCTTCTGCCAACCAGATATGCAGAAACGCAAGCGATGCAAGGAGCCTTGTCTCTTAACACAGGTCCAGCATGCATCAGCCAAGTGCTTATTTCCCGATAGGAACCCAGTTGTGATCAACCTGTAAAATTTTACTGCTGCAGCAACTGAGAATATTGACTTAAGCAGATAATGCAACATAATGCTGTCAAAGATAAACAATGCTGTACACTAAAGTGGTTAAGGACAAATTTAATCAGTAATTCTGTGGCAACAGGGAGTAGAACTCAACTTCACCAAAACAAAGCAGGAGAGACTTTTGAAAGGCTGGGTGCACTAAGGGAAGGCACTGCAAAGTGTTAAGGGGGTGTTAGTCATGTGACTTCACCTGAATTTGTTAATTGAAGATTGTTAGGAGGAGAAGAGATTATTATGGCAAGAAGCAAGTGGTACAAATTGAAGCAAGGAAGCCATGAGCGTTCTCTCCCTGGGTTTTTATTTTATTTATGTGACTCCACATGAAATACATTTCAATCAGAGATGATTTGGCTTGAAAGATTTTGCAAAATATA